ATCCTCCTTCCTCTTCCCTCCCCCCTTCCTGCCCGAATTTCCCCCACGATCATCTCATCATCTACTCTGTCCATTGCTAGATTAAGCGTATCACACGTGATGCGACAACCAGAGGTAAGATATTACTCTCCGTCTTTTTCAGACGTTTCTCACGCCAAGTATATATCACGTACTTGCGAATCACACGTGACCGCGTGTTTTCTCCGTTCTCGATCGTTTGCATTTTTTTACATCGATCATCTGTGAATCTTCGTTCCTTTTATTTTTCTTCTTCTTCTTCTTTTTTTTTTTTTTCTCTCTTCATCGACCCTTCTCTTACGTTTCTCTCATTTCTTTCCGTCAATTACACGCGTGTCTCTATATATATATACCCATAATCCGGGATTTTGTTGGTTCTCTTTCATTAAAAAAAAAGAAAAAAAAAAGAAAAAAGAAAAAAAAAATCACACTCTCATCTCAGGTTTATCACGAGTTTCCATTTTATATTATTTTCCCGCGCATTGGTTCACATCTTCTCTTCGCTTGTCTTTCAATTTCTTCCTCCAGTAGTGTCTGCATATCTAATCGATGCTCGAACGAAATTCCGGCCCGGGCCATTTTTCTCACGAAATTCTCCACGAGATTTATTTGATCCTCGCCTCGTGTCAAAAAAAACCACAAGATCAAGATTCTTTATATCGGGAGAAATCGATCGGGTGTTTTTTTTTTTTTTACACGCGACATCCTGTATTTCTGTATCATTAGGAATCGTCCAAATTTTTATCGTCCATCTCCTCATGGTCGCGCGTGTACACATGGTTTTTTTTCCCCAAATGGAAATTTCGAGCCGACGTTTCTTTCCAGAGAATTTTTTTTTTTTTTTTTTTTTTCGACAAGTGACGGAGTCAAAATATGCGATGGTCCAAGGTACGAACAGGTACACGAGCACCAGTAGCCCACGTCATAAAATACTTGTGCATCACGTAGCGATCGAATGAAAGAGGACACCACACGCGCGCATACATACACACCTATGTACATGCACACGCACATACGTACGTACACACACACATACGAGACACACAAGCGCGTGCGCGCGCACACACACATACATATATATATATATATACACACACATACGCGTGTGCATATATATATATATATACACACACATACGCGTGTGCACGGCGCGTAAGCGCCTGTATAGATGCACAGTGCTTTTGTAGGGTCAAACATTGCCGGGTGATAACAATATCGACATTCCTGGCACACGCCAAATTGAGTCCGTTTTTCTTTCTTCCTTTTTTTTTCCGGTTTTTTTTTTCAAAACGCAATAAACGCGAGAAAATGAAGATGGAATTGTCGACGGGGTTTACAGGACGATTGATGTGATGAGATTTTTTTTTTAAAGGTGAGAGTTATTTTTGTTCGGTTATTTTTATGTTAAACGTGAATTCACGAGAATATAAAAAGATCATTTTCGGTAATTTTTGATTTTAATTTTGTCAAATGTTAATACATTTTTATGTTCTTGCTTTTTGGGGGGAAGGGGGGAGGAGGGGGTGAATTTCTGATTTTCATTTTAATTCGATTAGAAAAAAAGTAATGTTTAAAGATCGTGAGACGAAAAAGTTTACGCTACTTTTTTTTTTATGAATCATCGTTCGAGGGATGAAATCAAATTATCGAAACAAAAAAAAAAAAAAAAAAAAAAAAAAAAAAAAAAAAAAAAA